TATGATGTTGACTGTGTGTTTGTTATATATGATTTTTTTATGTTGAGGTATAGTCACTCTATTTCCAGTTTGCTGAGAGTTTTTATTGTAAATAAAAGGAGGCAAACTTTTATCAAATTCTTCATTTGCACTTATTCATATGATCAGGTGATTTTTAGCTTTCATTTTGTTTACTTAGTGTATCATGTTAACTGATTTGCAGATATTGTACCAATGTTGCATCTCAGGCACAAATGCCACTTGGTTATGGTATATGAAATTTTAATGTATTAGCTGGTTTATTAATATTTTGTTGAGGATTTTAGCATCTGTGTTCAACAAGGATACTGGCTTATAGTTTTCTTTCTTTGTAGTGACATCTAGTTTTGGGATTAGGGTGATGCTTGGAAGTATTCCCTCCTCTTGAATAGTTTGGAATAGTTTGAGAATAGATATTAGTTCTTCTTTGAATGTTTGGTAAAATTTTTCTGTGAAGCTATTTGTTCCGGACTTTTTTTTTTTCTACTTCAATTTCATTAATTACTAGGAGCCAGTGCATGAATTTGTGCACCTTGAAAGGATCTGTGGACTGATTGCTTGCAGTGGGCATAGGGTGGGTCTTGGCCCCCAGGTTCCTCTCTGTTGGTAGCCCTGCTCCTACTGCAGCTTCCATGCACTGATGGTAGTGGCCCCACTTGCACCCACTGATGGTGTGGAGCCATTGGGGCCAGCGCTAGCAGTGGGTGTGAGCAGTGGCTGCTGACATAATCACCCTTCAGGAGCAAGGGGAGGTGGAGAAGGCCTGAGGGGCGATTGGGGCCAGCAGCCATCGCTTGCACACACTGATGGTGTTGAGTAATCCGAACCAATGCTGGGTGCCAGTGGCCAGCAGCAGATGCGAGCAAAGGCTCTGGGACTTGCAGTGGGTGTGAGTGGGGTCAATGCCAGCCTCAAGTGTGAGCATCGGGCAGTAGAATGAAGAGCAGGAGCAAAGACTTTTTAGTAACCACCAGAGGTTTGCCCCGATAACTTGGTCTGGACCCCTCACACTCACCTGCTCCACCATCCTGCCTGGCCAATGCTCACCATGTTCCATGTTCTAACTTGGTCTGGACCCCTCACACTCACCTGCTCCACCATCCTGCCTGGCCAATGCTCACCATGTTCCATGTTCTGCCACTTGCTGCCAAAGCACCCCATATTCTGCATGTGCCCCTGGTGGTCAGCACACTTCATAACAACCAGTTGTTTGTTTTTTTGGTTGTTCCCCCTTTCAGTCTATTTGCGTAATAGGGATAGATAGATAGATAGATAGATAGATAGATAGATAGATAGATAGATAGATAGATAATCAGTCTGTTCAGATTTCCTGATTCTTCTTGATTCAATTTTAGAAAATTGCATATTTCTAGAAATTTACCCATTAGCCCAGTGGTTGGCAAACCAGGGCTTGAAAGCCACGTGCAGCTCTTTGGCCCCTTGAGTGTGGCTCTTCCACAAAATACCATGCCTGGGTGTGTCTATTTTGAAGAAGTGGCGTTAGAAGAAGTTTAAGTTTAAAAAAATTGGCTCTCAAATGAACTTTTAATTGTGTGCTGTTGATATTTGGCTCTGTTATCTAATGAGTTTGCCAATCACTGCATTAGTCCAATTTCTTGGCATATAGCCATTTGTAATGTTTTCTTACTATTCTTTATTGCTATGTTGTCAGTTGTTACTTCTCTTTCATTTCTGATTTTATTTATATGGATCAACTGTCCTTTCATCTTGTAAAGTCTCATTGAGGTTTATCAATCTTATTTATCTTTTCAAAGCACCAACTCTTGTTTTTATTGATCATTTGTTTTGCTTTTTGGACTCTTTTTTTGGCTTATTTATGATCCGGTCTTTAACTGTTTTGTGCTCTCTTGGGACTTTGTTTATTTTTGTTTTATTAGTTCTGTTAAGTGTAAAGTTGAACACCTTACTTGAGATTTTTCTTATTTCTTGAGGTAGGTCTGAAATGCAGTTAATTTTCTTCTTAAGACTGCTTTTGCCATATTCCATTTTGAATTGTGTTTCAATTTTCATTTGTTTCCAGGTATCTTTTAATTTCTTCCTTGATTTCTTTGTTAACCTATCCATTGTTTACTAACATATTATTTAGCCTCCTTTTCATTGTGGGTTTTTAGGTTTTTGATTTTTTTTTCCTGATTAATTTCAAGTTTCAAACCATTATGGTCAGAGAAGATGCTTAATATGATTTCAGTCTTCTTAAATTCATTGAGATTTGTTTTTGTATCCCAACATGTGGCCTACCTTTGACAATGCTCTATGTGCAATTGAAAAGAATGTATATTCTGCTGTTTTGGGGAAAATGGTCTGAAGATATAAATAAAAATAATCTAATCTAGTGTGTAATTTAAAGTCATTATTTTCTTGCTGATTTTCAGTTTCTAAGAACTATTTATTGATGTTAGTGTAGTGTTAAATTTCTTGTTATCATTGTATTACTGCTGCTGTGTCTCTTTACCTCCATCAAAATTTGCTTTATATAGCCAAAACTGGTCTGACTCAGTGGATAGAGCGTCGGCCTGTGGACTGAAAGGTCCCAGGTTCGATTCTGGTCAGGGGTATGTACCTTGGTTGTGAGCACATACATCCCTGGTGGGGAGGGCATATCCCTAGTGGGGGGTGTGCAAGAGGCAATTGATTGATGATTCTCTCTCATTGATGTTTCTAATTCTCTATTCCTCTTTCTTCCTCTCTGTGAAAAATCAATAAAATATATTTAAAAAATTTTTGCTTTATATATTTAGGTGCTCCTATGTTGGGCATATACTAATATATGTTTACAAGGGGTATATCCTCTTCTTGAATTACTCTCTTTATTATTATTTAGTTTCTTCTTTGTCTCTTACTAAAACCTTTGTTTTAAAGTATATTTTGTGTAATATAAGTGTTGCTACCCCAGCTTTATATTTTCATTTAGATTTTTATGAAATATATATTTACTAGAACCCTGATGCATGAAATTTGTACATGGAGGTGTGTCCCTCAGCCCAGCCTGCATCTTTTCTAATCTGGGACAACTCCGGGATGTCCAACTTCCCCTTTAGTGGTATTGGGCCTTAACAGGAAGTTGGACAACCCTCTCACAATCCAGGACTGCTGGCTCCCAACTGCTCACTTGCCTGCCTTCATGATTGCTCCTAACCACTTCTTCCTGCCAGCCTGATCACATTCTAGCCACTCTCCTGCCATCCTAATTGATGCCTAACCGCTCCCCTGGCAGCCTGTTTGCCCCTAACTGCCCTCCCCTGTAAGCCTGGTCACCGTTAACTGAGCTCCCCTGCAGGCCTGGTCACCCCTAACTGCTCTCCCCTGCAGGCCTGGTCACCTCCAACTTCTCTCCAAAATGCCCTCCTCTATAGGCTTGATCACACCCAACTAACCTCTCTTGCAGGCCTGATTCTTCTCAACTACCTTTCCCTGCTGGCCATCTTATGGTGGTCATCTTGTGTTAACATGGTGGCAGCCAACTTGTGTGTATGGAGTGATGGATATTACTCTTTTGTTAGATTGGATAGAGGCCTGGTGCATGGGTGGGGCCTGCTGGTTTGTCCTGAATGGTGTCCCAGATAAGGTTGGGGATTCCCATGGGGCGAGGGGCCCGTGGTGGTTAGCAGGCTGGACATGCCCCCTGGCTACTCAAGTGGAGGCCCTGGTGTCTTGGATTTATTTATCTTCAATAATTGAGACTTTGTAGCCTTGAGTAGAGACTTTATTCAGCCAAGGTGTGCAGAAAGCTTGGCTTCCTCCATTTCTGGCAAAACCCAAGCCTTCTGCTCACTCTGGGGACATAGCAATCTTCGTTAAGTTACTTTGCATATTCACTCCTGATTGGCTGGTGGGCATGGCTTGTGGATGTGGCAGAGTAATGGTTAATTTGCATATCACTCTCTTATTAGATAGGATGTCCTTTAATTTTAGTATTTGTGTGTCTTTCATCCTGAGTTGGGTCTCTTGCGGATTACATTATATATAGGTCTTATTTTCTTATTTATTTAGTTTCCACTGTCTTTTGATTGAAGCATTTAAACTGATTACATTTAATGTGATTATTGATATGTACATATTTATTTCCATTTCATTCTCTATAACTATATTTCTCTTTTTTATTTTTTCTTAAAGAGGATTTTTAAAAAAATATTTCTTGTAATATTGGTTTGGTGGTAATAAATTCTTTTAGCTTCTTCTTGTCTGGGAATCTCTTTAATTCTCCTTCCATCTTAATGATAGCCTCACTGGATAAAAACCCCAATTATGTCAACTGTAGAATAGGGAGATTTTTATTAAATACAAGATACTGATTTTACTAACTTATCTATACTAACCCTGTTGTAGAAATTACTTAGAATTGCATAAGGGTCTATAAGGTTCCTCCAGGGCTAGATTCTATGAGTCTTTATTTTTTTTTAATATATGTTTTTTATTGATTTCAGAGAGGAGGAGAGAGGGAGAAAGAGAAAGAAACAAAAATGGTGAGAGGGAATCATTGATCAGTACACCCCACACTGGAGATTGAGCCCACAACCCAAATATGTACCCTGACTAGGAATCAAACTGTGACCTCCTGGTTCATAGATCAACACTCAACCACTGAGCCGTGCTGGCTATGCTATGAGTCTTTAATTTTATTATGGATGGGATAATTGGAACTGGTAAGTTCAGTGCACCCTTCATGATTCAGGTGACCCAACATAAGTGAGAGTCAACCTTTCCCAGTGCTCAGCTAACTCTTGGCCATGGTGAGCCTATTTGCCTTATTGCTATCCATATAGTACAATTTCACTGTCAGGGTCTATACACAATGATAAAGATTCTATGTAATTATGTTGAGGAGATATGTGGAGTCTCTTAAAAGAGAAAAAATGAGGAAGACTAAATGATGGATTGAGGATTCTGCATGGTGAAGGAATATTATGACTTGGCCATAGGCTATTACATGGTATATTGGAAAACAAACATGACCAGTGTACCTTTTTTGCAAAAGGGCCCTTCATATGGTGAACTGGTGCAATCACAGAAGTATCCACTGCGCTTCTCCACACACTTGCCCCCATTGTGGCAGATGCTGCCATAACTACTGCAATGGCCTGGGCATCCTGGTCGGACTCCAGAGGTGACCTTGGCCCTCTCCTCCAGGTCCAGTTTCTGCCCATTCAAGTGCAAGGAACGTATGCATCCTAGAAAGCCTTTTTGTTTTGATGATGTTCCTCCTAAGTGATGAAAAACAAACGAAAAAAAAATTAGGAATCACAGGGTTAGGATTTTTTAAGTTTAATTTTGGCATTCATAACAGTCAACTATTATTTTGTTGTGATGCTATGGAGAAATTTTTAATTAAAGTGTATATGGAGAATTAGAAATTTAAAGAGTCTAGGGGAAATGCATGTTTTTTTTTCAGGCTGGGAGAAACACTCCTCCCACCCTCCCACTCCCATGCGCGCGCACACACACACATACACACACACACACACACACACACACACACAAATTGCTTTTAAAATGTTATAGTTCATGTGGAATCCGGTATTGTACATATTTAAGGTAGAACCTTCAAGATAAAAAAAAAATTATGATCCTTGCAAATGAAACAAAATGTATTTGTTGTCTACTGCAGACATTTCTCTGAAGTGGAACACACAGAGAAATTGTGCCTCTGGCAAAGTTAGAAGCAAGCTGTTAGGCTCCTGGAGTTAGAAATTGCAGTGCTTATGGGTGCAGTATGGTGGACTACAAAGAGGGTGGACTTTAGGACAAGACAGATATGGAGTCCAACTCCATGTTACTAGGTGATCCACCACTGACTCATGTGAATCCCCCCTTGGCCTATAAAATAAGAATTAGTCTATTCCATGTGTATATAGTAAAGCTTAGTTAAAATATAGTGCATCCTCAATCACTGCTCTTTGTTACCCCTTCACCTAAATCCTCACAATGGTATATACATATTGATCTCAGAGATTAGATTCAAATTGTTATTTGGATGACACATTTCTTCTGCTGGAATGCAGAAAAGGATTGCAAGCCAACTTTTAGCTGAGGGCATATCTTGAAGGTTTCAGAGACAACCACAATGCTCATTGCAAATTATCTATCAACAGAGTGAATCAAAGATACAGAATATTTTGTTACTATTTGAAACCCAGGATTCTATTAGCCTAAACATGTACTATCAGAAATATGTCATTTGAGAAACAAAAAGCAACAAAAAAAGCTAAATCCCATCAGCAGATATTTATTTTGTGTTGAGAGTTCTGGAAAGTCCCAGAGAAAATGTATACATGGCATTAAAGAACCTAAATTCCATTCTAAATGCAATGCTTTCAGCTCAAATCCATGCATAGAGGTAGCTGGAGGGCACTCAGGTCTTCCAGGTGTACATGGAGTACCACAGGAGAGGAGAAGGTGTGTTGAGAACAAAGCCTGCCTGCCATTTATTTCTGTGTAAGTCATCTCTGCTTTCTGAGACTCATTTATTTCTAGTTCTTCATATTGCAACCTCATTAAATATTGGACTAGCAAATGATAAAAATATATTCCTACTAAGGTGGGCACAGATATGAATTCCAAATGTTCAACAAGAAACAAAGCTGGGTATGTTAAAGAAATTAATATGTAATGTAAAATTTTCTGGCATCAGTTAGCTTGGCAGGGTGGACAAGCAAATAATTGGAAATGGGGATGGTGGCAATATAAGGTAGAAGCAGGGAGAATTCGCCCTTCCCTGAACCACACTAGGTCATGCAAATATATGTATGTCAGCCACTATCTGCACCTAAAGACAGTATGTTCCTAGAGGATTAATCTAGTCTCTTATCCTGAAGGAATAATAAAACTCCACTGTATTTTCTGTTCTGGTAAGTGATATCCAGGTTGGCCAGGAGGTCAAACCTAAATTGCATCCTCCCATCTGTCTCAATTTTAGTGAGTAAATCTCCTTCAACCACAAGATAAATCAATTGTAAACACAGCAGATCATAGAGGAAGGTTCATTCTTTCCTGGAGATTGTGTAGAATAAAGAGGACAGCACTTAGACAATTCAATGTTTTGTTCTATTTTTCCTCATTTTGTAGTCACTCCCTGTGATGGATTTAAATAACTTTTCATATGTCTTGTTAGTGCTATTTTTCTTTAGCAGAGGTGGAGAATGCAGGATCTGTTGCCCCCTTTTTTTGCGTGTGACTCAGCCTACAAGTTTATAAATGGAAAAGGTGGCTGTGGTGGTTTCTCTGGCAGACATGCACCCCTTGAATTTGAGACAGAGAATGGCCCAAGACAAGAGGATCAGCTTCATCCCACATGCTGACAAAACACGGTGACACAAAGGACTATGAACTAAATGGCAATACCTGACTGCTTTTATTCTCTATGAGGGAAGAAAAACTAGAGAATGTGAGACCCCCCCCCCGCCTCTTCCCCACACACACCCAGGTCCTGTCAGGTTGTCAGCACGCTGCAGTTTTGACATTACCTACTGTGTGTACAGTTGTGCTGGAGGCGTGACTCTGTGAAATTTGAATACTGTGCAGAAATGCAGCCAGTCTTCCCTCCTCCTCTCTCATAGCCCTTAACCCCACCTAGCCTGTGGATCTGCTCTCCCAGGTTCTTCTGGACCCATCAGATTCTTCCCACACCCAGAGCACACACACTCCGATTGAATCCCAGCAACAACTGTCTTCCCAGGGTCAACTCTGACTCTTTTGATCCACTAGCCGTTTTGCAATAGGAGAGATCAACCACACGTAAAAATTTCAATCTGCCAGTCCCGTTCCATACCCTTCAGAAAGCAGTTATTGCAGAAAATCACATTCAAATCCTTAGCACAGTTGATATACATGAAAGATCTAGTCTGCATTCATTGATCCATCTTCCTGTTGTGACTTCAGGGCAGCTGGCATCTGAGCTGCTTGCTAATGGCTCCCCCGGGATTCATGGTCCACCTTGACTTTGGACCTCCTCCTGTACTTTGAATTTATGTTGTGTGGCATCTTCCCCCATGCACTCTATGGCTCTCCTCCTTCATCACTACCATCACAACACACACACCTACACTCATATATCTGCATTCCTTAGTTCACATACTTATTTTCCTCTCTATTTTAATTTTCCCATTTTTAAAAAACAAAACTATTTTAAACATTTTAGATCTGTTAACAATGAACTTGCTCTCCTGCACACCAAGACTCTGCTGCACTGAGAGGGCACATGTGCACTCACCATTTGGCCACATCCCCACCAGGGGCACTTCAGTCACTCACAAGGCCTTCCTGGCCCCTGTACTCATTTTATTTTTCACATGTTCCTGTATACTCTTATCTTTACTTGGCTGCATGTTGTCTAGAGTTTACAGAGGTTGAAAGTTAAACAACAACAAAAATGTAACATTATCCTTAAAGCTACTGAAAATCATTTAATTGAGGGTCATATCTAATCTCAAGACCTTTGAAAATCAGAACAATGCCTGTGATTCTAAAAACACACACAACATATTTGCTGTATGTCAGAAACTTTATAATGAACTCATCAATACTCAATGTGGGAAAAAGGTATTATCTATATTATTCAAATTTACATAATTGAGAAAACTTAATGTCTAAGACATTGCTTTGGCCAGAGTCAAGATGAAAACAGATTTAACATAACATAGCCAGGAGTCAGACTGAGACCTCTTAATCTTCAAAGCCTATATACCTTCACATCCTTAAAATCCTAAATGGAACTATTTGATTAGACAATTTGGGTCAACACTGCCATTAAGTGATTTTTGCCTTCCTTTCCCTGGTGTCCTCCATGGTCCCTTCTACCAAGTAATGTACACATGTGTATTTATCCTCTTGCTTTCATATCCCTCCTCCTGACAACATACTCCATCAGCTGGCCTCACTGGAAGCACTTTTGTATGAAACTCATCAGTTGGCTGTTGGTATTGAGATTGTTCATTGTGATGCTGCTTCCTTCGACTAAGTATGAATAAACTCTTCAAAATGTGACTCTCATCACGTCCGCTTCTCAGAAACCCTCTGTGTGGCATCTGGGCAAATGTTCACTGCTTCCAGAGTCACAGCTTGATCCCGTGCCTTCCTGAGCGCAGGTACAGGGGCCTCCATTTATTTCTCTTGTGTGCCCTCACCACATTCGACACAGTTCACCTGAAAACAGAAATTTTAATTCCCTGCCAGTGGGGAAGCAAGAGTAACATTTTGGGAATTTCTGCAACTTTATGATTTATCAATTCAGTATAGAATTTTCCCTAGGAGTTATATGTTGGAACAGATATAGTTTGTTTTGGCACAGATAAAAAGCCAAGACAAAAAAAAGGGTGGGGGTGGGGTGGGGGGGTGAGTGGGGAGTCCCATGAAGGACCAAAGAAGTAAGAGGAAGTAAAGCCACACAAAATGAGACTCACAGGCCAACACTTTTATAAAAAGCCAGCTCTCTGATTGCAGCACATCTGGAACAACGGGGTGTTAGGTTTGTGCAGAGTGAGACTTTTCCTCAGGGATAAAGGTGCCATTCCCATAGGTGTGTGGTAACAGCAGATCCTCAAACTGAAAAATAATCAGTTCCCAGCCTGCTTGTTCTCATTCTGAGGGTGAGGACAACCAGCATACTTAGGCTGCTATTTTCTTACCAAGGCCCCATAGAAGTTCATCCAGATCCACACCCGGATCTCCTGGCTTCGCTGCTTGCCCTGGTGCCTGTTCTTGGGCTTCTTCTGCCTCATTCCATAGTGAGTGGCCATTAGCAGGAAACATGCAGCTGATGGATGAGACCTCCCAGAGGGCTAAGGATGGAGGTCCAGGCATGCAGCAGACATTTTGGAGGCCACCTGTTATACAGTTCCCCCTACTCTGCCAAAGTGAGGTGACCAGAAAAAATCTTGTGGCTGTAAATACAACTATCATGGAGATAAAAGCCTGAACTGAAAACATAACTTATGGGAACCCAGCATGTCTGCCACATTCCAAGAGTAGGGGTGTCCAACATTATAAAATCCAACCAGCCTCTCCTGCTAAGGAAGACTCAGGAGCAAGCAGTGAGACCAGAGGTGCAATGCTGAACCACGTTCTGTTTTGACTGAAAAATTGCTCAATGACTAAAGGAATCTGGTCAGACACAACAGAATTAATATTTAAGCAGTGCCACGCTCAATCTATTCCAGGAAGGAGGACACACTAATGTATCTTTTCCTGCCTCAGAAATAACAATGTCCAGTGTCTCCACATTTCCCAATGATAGGGAATGCGATTCTGAATTTTGGCTGCTCTAACTAAGTAGAGCTTGCTTTTTGTTTTAGTTTTTGCTCTTTTTATGAACCACTCAATTATAAAAAATAGAAATATTGCAACTTCAGCATTTTCAACCTCCAGATATTTCTAAATGGATGTATCACTGAACACGAAACAACAAAATTCAAACCGACAAACTAAAATGGCTTTCCACAGCATTATTCTTCAAGTGCATTAGGACAAATTCAATAAAGCCGAGTAACACTTGAGATGGAATTTATTGGAGAGAAACACAGAAGCAGGTGCTCTCACCACAGCTGACCTTGGTTCCACCTCAAGCCAGATCTCTCCTCCAGACCCACCCACCCACAGCTCACTGTCTCTGAGATCAATTCGATGGGAACGTCTGGGGAAAGCTGCCGGGAAGCACTGCTGCCTCCTTTTCCCTGTTGGCTGGCAGACAGTAATCACACATTCAGGACATATGATAATTTCATAGCGACATGAAATTTTCATGAAAGCATCAAAAAATTATTCCATCTTTATATGCACATTTTGGCTTGAAAGATTCATAAATACTGCCTGAAGATAAATTAAACTTTGGCATGAATATAATTTATGAAAATTGCAAACTACTTGAATTGATTTCAAAAAGAAACACATTAAATCTTAATGACTAACAGACTTCTTCAGAGAAATAATATGTGATGTTTAAATAGAATTAAGACATATAAATTTTAAAAATATTTTAATAGTAAATTATATAATTTAAGTAGGGTATTAATTAAGTAAATTCTTTATAATTATACAATTTTAATCATTTATATTTTAGCTCCTGTCAGAAATGAAAAACATAATAGATGAGAAAATAAAATATTTTGTTGAGAAAATAAAATATTACATATTTTGTTACTTTCATCTTATGCGCTTTTAGTTACTGCTTCCCTTAGAGTTAAAAATTGTACAGACCTAAATTTAAAGGAAGCAAATAAAAACACCCTTTGATTTCTGATGGGATCCTGTTACTAACAAGAAGTTGATATATTGTGATAGCTGTTTAAATAAGAAAAATGAAAGAAAATGAAATCCTGTAGAGTGGCCACATTTAGAACTTATTTATATAATTGTTCTAAGACCTAAACTTAAAGTTTTATGGAAGAGCAGTTTCTTGGCTTTAGTAATATTATAACATCCCCAACATTTTACAGGTCTGTTTTGTACTTTAAAGCGTTATATGCCCTGCTCAACATTCTTATATAAAGTAATTTCTAAATTATAGCTGTAAGTCCGACCTGACCTTTCCTACCTGAACTAACATAGCTAAAATTTCTCTCTTACTTCCTCTCATTCTCTCTCTCCCTTCCTATTTATCTCTACCCCCCTCTACCCGCCCCCACCCTCTCTCTCTCACACACAACCGTGTGCTCTGAAAGTAGTTTCATTACACCATTTGCCTTGCCAATCTTCACCATCCAACAATGTCCTGACATATTTAATGTGCTCGGTGACTGGAATGAATGAATGAATGAATGAATGAATGAGTCAATGAATAATGACTGAGCCTTTCCAGCCCTGTGACCAGCAGTGGCAGCCGGTTCAGATTCTGAGTCTCGTGGAGGGAATGAGCAGCAGAGTCCATTGCTGGAGACCAGGACTGCTTTTCTGTGTGAGAGTAAGATCACCAAGGATGTGATTTCAGGAGGATCAAAGAAGCCCCCTTTTAAAAAACTAACAGTTTCTTCTCCATGCCACTAATAATGGAAATCCATTTCAGAGCGTTAGTATATTTTATTACACTGCTAGTGATTATTCTTAGGAATTAGAATCAGCCAAAAGGGGGAGTGTGACCCACTGATTTGGAGCCAGCACCACTAAGGGGCAAGCAGCTAATCTATTCTTTTTCTAAGGGCAAAATAGGATCATAAATGAAAACTAATAGGGGTCCCTGGATAGCTGAAGGTCATATCTGCAAAGAAAAAAGGTACAAAAGGAGTCTGAGATCACCTTAAAATTTGCTATGGGGTGGCATAATCTTTTATTGCTGTGGCTAATGAAGCAAGCAAGAAAGAATTTGTATAATAAAATTTACCATTATAAATGTTTTATGACACATTTTAATCATTTCTCAGGTCCAGATAAAAGCAGTTTCCTTTGGGCCTGGTCACAAAGTAGTTTTGTAGGATTTTTAGCATGTAGGGTGCCTTAAGATGTCCCCTACCTACAAACAGCTGGCTGTTCAGCTGCAGTCGGAAGTGGCCCTCCTCCGAAGTCTCCCTGCTCATCCTCGGGAGGCTGTCCACCTGCAGTGAGGTCACCTTGAGGTTCCTCTCGGCCCGAACGTAATGCCATTGGTTGTCATTCAGAGGAGAAGGAGACTGGACTATGAGCTCTATGGGGCCGTTCCCAACATCAATTGCAAAAGTGATCTCAGAAGGAGCTGAAACCAGAAAGGGAAACAGGTAGAAATGAAGGGAGTTGTCAGTGTGTTTAGGGCACAATAATGTCATGAATGAATGGCATACAGGGTCATAAGTCAATAGCCAGGCAAAGAGGACTTCGTTGAAACCCTGCACTATTAAAATTACCATTAGTAGTAATATCTACCAAGCACTAAGCATCAAACTCTCACTTTTGCTCAGTTGGTCTTGAATGTGAGAATTCAAGTAATAGCATAGGGACCTGGGACACCAATGTTAATCTGATAAATATGCATTTGTGCCAAAGTTCTAGGTTTCCTGTATATTCTGGCTCCAACTGTGTTCTCTCAGAAATCCATCAATACTGGATGAGCTAGGCAGCTCTGCTCCTGCAAGGAGAAGACCCACCACCTGATATGTCTAGTGTTCTTTCCATGTTATGTTATAAATACATGTGATATGCGCATTCACCCTATTGCTAGGATTAAAGAGAGAGAGAGAGACTCAGAAAGTTGAAGTGTTTGTTTTCTCCAAGAAGACATAGTTGCAAATGCTGGTGCTTGGAGTGAGACACAAGCCCCACCTCCCACTCTGGGCCCCTTCCCTGACTCTGCCCTTCTGAATCAATCTGCATTCAAGTCAGGGTATGAAGATGATGGTGGTTCTGGGGTGTTAGTGATGATTATAGACCCATGAATAGAAAGACAGAAGGAGAGTAGCCACAGCATAGTGGAAACAGTGAGCTCTGCCAGGCTCTGTACTAAGCACTGACTACAGCATCTATCATTTCATCCTCAAAACAACCCTTTAAAAAAGGCATCATTTTTATTTCCTTTTGATGGGTTAAAAAAACAAATGTGAATAATTTTCTCTAAGTTTCCTAACTAGCAAGTAGAATCTGACTCCAAAAGTAAAAGCGATCACTATATTTTTCTCAATTGAGTGTATACTATCATATTTTCTACTAGTGCTCCAGTGCACAAATTCATGCACACTGAAAAGAAATTAATTAGAAGGTGGTTGGCTGGGTGGGACTGGGCAAGATGGGCCAGACACACCCTGGAGCCAACCTTCCATGGTCCCTCTCCATCAACCACTTCTGGGGTGGTGCCGCAGCACAAAGGGCATCTGTGGAGTGAGCAGAGTCCTTCAGGCAGGTGAGGTCCCTCAGCCTGGCCTGTGCAGGTTGGGCTAAAACCAGCTCTCTGACATCCCCCAAGGGGTCTCAGATTGTGAGATGGAGGTTCTTGGGTGATATACCCCAGAACCGGGCTTCCTTCTCTCTTGTTCTGGGGTACATCACTCAAGAATTGCCACTGCCAAGTCACTGCAGCTCAGCAGCTCCTGCTTTGAGCATCTGTCCTCTGGTGGTCAGTGAACATTAGCTATGATGTGTTCATAGCTACCGGTCGGACAGTCAGATGGTCACTTAGCCATATATATATATTTATTACATAAAAGTTTTCTGAGTCTGAAGGAAGTGGAGAGGTAAATAATACACTGAGGAGAAGACAGCCCCTTCCATAGCTGGAATGGCCCCTTCTTTCCCAGCACCCTGAGATGGCCCCTCTCCTTTACCCCTAAAACAAAAGCTGGGTATTTATTTCACAAAGTCATCAACTGCAAGACCTGAACTATCAAAGGTCAAATACCACCCTGGAACTCTCTCTCCTTAGCTTTAAACCCTAACAGAAAGCCAGTTCTGGTGTAAGAAACCCCAATCTATAAAATTTTATGTAACTGGGAGTTTGAATTGTTTTTGCATTCTGGCAAATGTGAGCCCTGACCTAGAGGGAAGTAATAAGTTAAAGGCCTTAAAGTCAAACTTGAGAGAAGACTCTGGAGCCACCATGACCTGAGGTGTTTTCTATCTTGTGCAAGCTCAGTGTTCTCATTTGTAAGACAGAAATAAAAACAGTATCTAATTGTCAAGTTGTTTATAACTTAATTCTCATGGATTTCACATTTTGATCAAATGTAAGATTACTTGCATTTAAAGCATTTTTATACAACACAAAAGTCAAAATACAGCACCAGAAAGTACAAATTGGACATTGCAACATAATTAACTCCAAATCATTGTTCATTACCCTGTGATGATAAGCCATGACATTAGCTGCTGCTGGAATGAATCGAGTGGCCTTGGGGCCTAATTTTTATTAAATTTATGTTGTGGTTATTATATTCACATTATGAAATAGTTAGCACTCAACTCCACATTCTCAGTTCCAGGCCTTTAGGTATCAGGGATCTTATTTCACAAGAAAGACAGGGGTTTCCTCCCATTAGTAGTTCAGTTGTTGGAGGGAAAGGAGGTCAAAACTGCCAATAAAAGAATCCCTTCCCTTGTATGCCTCCTGTGCATTTGCAAAAAGAATACTCAGCCATGAGAGAAGCACACACACGCTGCCGCTACCCCCTCTGGCCAGGGCTCTTTGCCTCTTTTCTGGAGCTCTTAAATACCAGGTTTCTGTCGATAAGACATTACTTGTGCTTTCAAGGGAATATGATGAGGTCACATTATTGCAATATGGTCAATTGCCTCAATCAAGCTACAGAACACATCCATTTAGACACAGATAAATGAGCCTCCTAATGACATGTGTGAGTCTACATGGTTATGGGTACTATAAGGGCAAGACCCTGCGAGCAGTCCACCTACACATGAGAAATCAGGGCTGCCCTGAGGGCAGCAATCGAAAAAGGAGTGCACGCAGCTGAGAGTAGAGATTTTTCTCACTGCCAGGCACCAGTGATTCTAACTATCAATGACAACACAGTTCTCTAAAGAACAACAACAACATTTTTTTGTTGTTGTTTAAGTTCTATGCAATGCTAACGTTAGTTTTACTTTTTAATCATGTGCATGCAATCCTCCAAGAGCACGTTTTATTACTTACTATTCAAAAATATTATGTGCGAGAGGGAAATTAATACAGAGAGCTCCAGATCCACTGGTGACCCCTGAACACGCAGGCTCACATACACAGGGTGAAACAAAAGTGAGTTTACGGTTGTCCGTATGAAAAAGTAATACAATAGTTAATAAATAATAATTCAAGAGTAAATTGTTTCACAGTCTCACAGCTGTGGACCTTCTTTTGTTACACCCTGTATGTATTTATTTTTAAGGGTAAAAACTCCAGTTCTGAGTTTTTGCTTTTATAATTACTGTGCTATTCTGTTTAACTAAAATCTGTTGAAACACATATGTAGCATGTGCAGACACAAACTGCACACAGAGAGCTCAAGCAGTTTCAAATCCTCAGCAACTCTGCTAGATTTTTACCAAATAGAATAGCAGTTTAAGATGAAGTTTCTGATAAGTTATTTTAGTGGATTATTTTTTTTATTGCAGGGATATTTGAAGTTTTAGATTTAATTTTGAAAAATTTACATGGAATGTATTGCAATTTTTAATTTTTTTTATAAAATGGAATTTTTTTGAATCTGTACCAACCTTATCCTTATGTTTAAAATAGTTCCTGACATTTATACTTCTATTACTAATGTGAAAAACAATTTATTCAAAATTTATAAAATGTACCTTTTGATAAATTTGAGAGAAAATAGGTGGATAAAACTGATTATAGTTTTTAAAATAATTTTTATGAAGTCATTCATAAATTTGTAGAATTAAGGTCTAAGGAACAGAAATTTAATGTTATTATTGTTACTAGACAAACTAATAAGTAAGTTCATAGTTGTCAATGTAAAAATATATTAAAAAGTATTATAATTAATGTAAGTGGAAAGTATTTATCTACTATCTACTAAATGTCTTCTTTTCTGTACTGAATTATTTTTATTTACAAGATTATATATTGAATTTCCATAAGAGGACATTTTACCATCTGAATTTCTATTTTTTTTTATTTAACTTTATTATTATTTCCAAATATAACTTGCATAAAGGAGATAAGATGTTAAAAATGACTCATCCTGTCATCAAATGCACGTGATAAACTCAAGTTCATGGTGTAATGGGAAAGGAACAGTGGGGATTCTCCCAGGGTAGTGACACACTGCTTGTGGTGGGACATAAGTGAGGAAATTACTTTCAGAGCAAAAGTACAGAAAACGTGGAGCTCAGGTAAGAATAGACTGCAGGAAAATAACACTTTAACTTTCCATGGAAATTGTAATGAACATATCTGGAGCTTGGAAGTTTAAGTTTTACATAGGAAATGCCCACAGATCAGATGGAGAACATTGCCATAGGTAGCCATGGACATTTGGGTAATGCAGTGACTTGGTGAGAGAGCGACTGATTAAATACTGATACCTAAGAATAATGCAAAAAAGCTTTAGAAGGAACCAGACATTGCCATTGCTAATTTTACAGACAACCAGTGAGATTAATTTTGTGGTACAAACAGGCAAAGGTAAGACTGAAGTTTCTCCTGCTGACCAGATACATTAGTGATTCATAAAAGAACGACTTACAGCTTATTTCTAGGCGGATGAAGTCTGTAATGCCAAGGTTTTCTAGGAAAACTCCGGAGAGAGCCGTGGTTTTAAAATAGAAGGAAATGTCAGCACTGAATTCCGCATGGAAGGTTGGGAAGTGGAGGTAGGAGGCTTCTGTGTTAAAGGAGACTGCATTCCAGAAGTGTCCTGCAAGTAAGAAAACCCTTGAGCATGGTTGACTGTTGTGAAGTGAGGCACAGAGAGCTAAGCATGTGGATGATAACTCTCAAGCCTGGGGGACTGCAGGGAGAGGGGAAGGGGAACATTTTGAACATCCTGTGCTTACATAGTGCAGAAAGAAGGCTTTTTCATTACTACTCACGGTCGCCATAGCAACGCAAGGGACCAATTCTCCAAGCAGCTTCTGAGTTTGATCTGTTGGTATCAGTGATAACTATCTGAGTGACAGGCAAGTGGTCTTTGAAGGAAAGAAACCCAGTATCATTTGTCCTGCAAAACATAAACGTAAGACAAAAGAGGAGAAAATGTGGATAATCTAGGGACTCTTTCCCAAGACTCCTCTTTTAAAAAGTGATTTGGGTACTTGCAGCAGGATGGGGCAGGGAGGAGGGTAACACAGGGTCTTTCATCTCCGAAATGTGTGTGAGAGACTAGAATGCCAATTGCAGAACCCATGGCCAGCTTCCCCAAACAAGCAGATTTACATTTTCCCTAAGTCCTTCCAGAGCTTGCTTCCGCTTACTGTGGCTGAGAGCACACACCTGCCCTTGCAGTGCTGCAATATCATGAAATGTTGCTCTCTCCCCAAAGAGACTGGCTGTCTCAGGAGCTCACTTGAAATGGGCATGACAAATCCCACAGGAACCACCCAAGGGCTTGTTTCAGCCACCTGCCAACAGTTTCAAACAGCTGAGGAGGCTTCTGTCACCTTTCAACTCTAGGAACAGGCAAGTCTTTACAGTTGCTCTTCATTTTGCTGCTCTTCATTTTGCTCCATGTTTTAAAGATCTTGGTTGTTAGAGACTCTGGATTTATCTTTGTTAACTAAGCAAGAAGGAAACTACTAGTCACCCAGTGACAAAAATTTTTAAAATAGGGTTAAGCTATTGATTTTTTTTCTCTTTGCAAGTTGTGTTTCTGGACTACTAAAAAGAACATATCATTTAACTGAAAATAAAAAACAAAATGTAGGTAAGAAACTGATACTGGATTAATAAATATTTTGAACCAGCAATTTACTAAGGAATAGTTTATTTTTCCCACACAACACCCCTATGGCAGTTGGTACAATTTTTCTTATTTAGCAATGAGGAAACGAAGGCCCGGACATATTAGGAAACGCCTAAGGTCACATGACAGTAGGGGCAGGGGCATAGCATATAATTGGTATATATCCTAAGTATAATTTGACAAGTATGTCATAAATATATGTTAATCTGAGTGGAACTGAATCATATGAGGCAGTCTGAGAACCACACACACATGGGTGGACATGCCATGTGTTAAATGCAAGGTTGGTCCTCTTGCTGGTAATAGGAACTCGAAGGCAGAGTGACTTGTTTTGATATTCAGGCTGGAGCATCTGATGCAGCCAGTTGATAACAAGAGCATGAAGGCACAGATTCATATTGGTTCTTTCTCCATATCCACAAAAAAGTCACAAAACACTCAAAACCAGCAGTATATTTCATTGTCACTTTCAGCTTTCAGTTTAGAGACAACAAACTAATATTCCAGATTAATAATTTGGGAAACATGGCAAGAACCAAGTAGTGTGAGAAGTGATTTTGAGGATAGAGCTTTAGAAGCAGACGGATTTGTTCTGGAGTCTCAGGCCTTACCTGAGATTATAGCTGTGTTAGCTTGGGCAAACCACTTTATTTCTGAAATTCCCCAGTATCCTCAGCTTTAAAATGGAGATATAGTCTATATCACAGGGTATAGAGAGAATTAAATGAGATTATATAGTCACTTAGCAAGGTTTCTGATCTAGGGGAAATGCTGAACAATGGGAGTACTAATACTAATTTTCATCTGAACTAAGACCTCTGTTTCTATTTGAAAGTACATCTCTGAATGCTACTTGAACACAGGATAAATTTTGAGTCTTACATTCTGATATATTTACAGGAAGAGATTTCAAACAAATTGCAAGTAGTCAAAGTAGATAGACCAAACTCACATCCTCTCTTAAATTATTTTGTATTTCTATAGGATTTGTTTCTCTCCATTTTAGTTTCAAGGGGAAATGGAAAGTTCATTGAGGCTAATCACTGCCTCCCTTACATGTTATCCTCTTGTCTACATCCATTTGATTTCCTTGTGCCAAAATATTGGGATATGCAAATAGCACTCTAAGAATAAAAAATATTTTCCAAATAAAAGAGAAAAGGCACTCATATTAAGTTTGATGATGAAATGCACATTACCAAAAACAATATTGAGCTCAAAACTAAAATAAACATAAGTAAATGTAACTGCTCTCCAAAGTTGTTTAATGAGGTAGAAACAAATCCAAAGTCAAATGCCTACAAAGACCAGCTAAGAAATAAAATGACTTTGTGTTAGATGCTAAATGAAACCTGACACACAGCTTCACTTGTCAGGGGAAAAAGAGAGAGAAAAAGAGAGACAAGAAGACTGGTAGAAAGGAGGTGTTCTGTCTAAAGGAGGCATAAAGAAGTAATTGTGTTATTCATGAATATAAGTCGCATGGCTCACCTGGAATATTAATGCAAACATTCTCAATTTTTAAATCTTTCTTGGAAATTTATTTTAAAAATTTAAAATCATAGTGAGATAAGAACCAACACTGCACTGACCAATAAAATCCACATGAGAAATATGTTCAGCTGCCAGGCAACCTAGGCATCAAAAGGACTTTTAATATTTATTCATACTCTTAGGTCAACTTGAGAATAGATTGGATTTAATTCATAAGTGACACATGATTCACACCTTTGAAAGCATCAATAGGTAGAATATCTGGAGGGCGGTAGTGGTAGTGGATTTTAATCACAAGAAAATGATACGAATTATGGTGGTGCCTATTGATAGGCAGGAGTCTATAGCTGTAGATTCAACTTTCCACACGTTAACTGGTGTTTTGAACCAGCTTCATTTGAACAAACAAATAAATAGACTTTGTCTTTTTAGAGACCTTGTCTTTGTTTGGAATAGAGGAGGCTCTCCCTAAGGGGACAGGGCACTTACCTACTTAATCAGTACAGAAGTGGCTGTGTTGTAATGGAAAAGCATTGTCATTTGACTCAGACTGGCATGGGCTGAATCAATGTTCCTCAGCACACTCCTTGTCTGATGTCAACTAACACACTAACTAGTACAGAGTACAAATAGTTGTTGAAATTTCCAGAAAAGTTTGAAATTAAAATGTGGAATAAAATATTTAAAGGACAATAAGAAAAGAAGTCCCTGTAGCTGAAAGACAAAGGAGCAGGCCAGCTACAGATTCCAGCTGTGGAGGCCTTAAGAGCACAAGGAATGTGTGTCTCAAGAAACACATATGACCTAATAAAAATATATACATTAAGAAGAGGAATTGGGAAAAATATTATCAGGAGCAAAAGTATGGCCAGAATTAGTCAATGTGGTCTCTTCTCATTTTAGTGTCTGAATCTTGAGTTTTGTTTTTTTCTTTTTTACCAAATTCAGAACTGCAAACACAACAGGGGCCTTTTTTTCCATTAGTGAATCATTAATACATGGTGAGATGTCACATGCTCCCATTTGCTTTTATCAAGCAACTAGTCACCTTATGCACAGATCTGTGCACATTCAAAAAAAAATTTAATTAGAAGGTGGCCACTGGGGCGGGGCTTGGTGAGATGGGCTGGACAAGCCCAGGAGCCAACCTCCTGTGGTCCCACCCCAAAGGCTGCACCTGGGGCAACGCTGTGGCTCAAAGGGCATCTGTAGAGTGAGTGGGGTCCCTCTGGCACGTGGGGTCCCTCAGCCTGGCCTGTGAGAATCAGGCCAAAAACGACTCTCCAACATCCCCTGAGGAGTCCCAGAGGGTGGTTCTTGGGTGATGCACCCAGAATTGGGCTTCCTCCTCTCTGGTTTGAGGGTGTGTCACTTGGGAATCCCTGCTGCCAAGTCACTGCAGCTCAGCAGCTCCTACATTTAGTGTCTGCCCCCTGGTGATCAGTGTGTGTCATAGCTTTCAATTGAAGCATCTGCCCTCTGGTGGTCATTGTACATCATAGCTACTGTTTGGATAGTTGGATGGTTACTTAGCTATATATATATATATATATATATATATATATATATATATATATATATTAGAGGACAGAGGACCTGTGCATGAATTTGTGCATAGGTGTGGTCTGGCCAACCTGCCATGATCTGGGCCAATCGGGCTGGGCCACTGCAGGGAGAGGAGCCATGGGCAGTTGGCCGGCTGGCCCAGCTCTCTGGTTGAACTCCCAGTTGAAATCCTGGTTGAGGGAACAATTTGCATATTAGCCTTTTATTATATATAATAGGATGTTAGTGAACTTCTACTCTGTAAGCTTCTTTGAGGAGAGTAATTTGGGTTACTGAGTCTATAAAGAGTTGTTGTTTGTTTGTTTTTTTTCTTTTTATATCTTCTCTTTCAGTCACTGAAAAGTTACAAATAAAACATTATACATAGGATAGAGAAACAGAAATTTAAGCCCCTGTGTGTCTTAGTAGATTAGTCTCAAGACATAATGCCCCTCATTGCCTGTGGCTTCAAAAGCAAAACTAGCAGTAAGATGTCCATAAGCAACTCTGCAAGTCTAAAGAACCCTGTTATACTTGCCAATAATTCTATCCTAAATTTGCTTAAGGTAAAGATTTCCCTTTTGTTTTCCTGCAAGGATTTTCAAATAAAAGAGAACTAGGGGATTAAATGACAATTTCAAAATGAGCTGAAGTCTCATTTGGCTGTGTTCATATAAAGTCCACACCTGAGAGGGTATCTGTTTAGCCATGTCCCATACGAGCCAAACCAGAGCTGGAATCTTATTTTTAATTCCTAGCAAAACAAGGTGATTCTGGCAGAAATTTAAAAATCAGAAACTACATGTCTTCCATAGATACTTTAGAAACTTGAAACTGTAAAGCTCATCTCAAGTAGTCACGAGAATGCAAAATTAGGTCTTATATTTATATTTATATATAATCAAAGTTTACCCAATATTTCTTGATTTTTAAGAAATTAAAATGGCTCTCAAGATTTCATGAGTCTACAGTTGACTCATGAAACATTAACACAGATGAAGATTTAGGAGGTGTAATTGATTGAGATGTTTGGAACATGAAAGAAGCATTCAGAGGTGCTGTGGAAGGTCTCCATGGCACTGCCCACATTCTTTCTCCCAGATCAGGGTGCTCCTCTTTTCCTCCCCAAAGAACCATAATCAGTCTTCTATGGAAATTTTTTTCACTGAATTGCTAATTTCCATGAAATATGTAGACCTCTAACTTATTCCACTTTGGTA